GGCCTGGTTCACCATCATTATGGGCACCAACTCGGCTGCCTCCACTACCGTTTCGCACAGGGTTACCTCGTTATCTTCTAGGCCCTTTCCTTCTACAGGGACCAACTGCAGAGGTCCTCTCTGTACCTTTTTTCTGACATTAGCCTACCCTGTCCCGACACTGCGGTCCTAGGAGGTAACTTTACATCTTCCTCCACCACTATGGTTATCTCTTCCTCTGGTGGGCATCCCAATGGCGTTCTCTCGCCGTTCACCACCAACACAGTAGGATTAAACTCGATCTGGGCCTTCTGGCTCCGGAGCCAATCTTCTCCCAAGATTGCCTCTGTACACAGGTCAGGGGTTACGTAAAAATTTTGGGTGCTTTTCACCTCCCAATCCTCACCGGGAGCCTCACCATCCCTTTTATCTCCAGGGGGGGCCCATCTGCTTGCGTGATCTCTATGTCCGCTTCCCGTAACCTTCTCTTCCGTTTCACCCGCCTGTATGTTTCCTCTCATCAATGACACAGATGCTCCTGTGTCCACCAAATCCCTCATCTCTCTACCACCTATCTCTGCTCTACAGGATAGTTCTTTCTCTTGCGTTAGCGAAGAGAACACTTGAGCTTTCTTCTTCCTGGGTCCCCCCACCTTTGGGTTAACCCAGCCATAGGCGCCGGTAGTAATATATCACCTTCATTTTTCTCATGAGGTGGAGTTCTGCGCCCCCCCCTGCACCTGGGCGACCCCAGCCGGACCTCTCCCGGTCTCCCATGGCCGTTTCTAAAAATACAGTTTCTTTTCAGGTGTCCTGGCCTCCTGCAAACCAGCACCTTCTTGTTGGACAGCTTGCCGCAAAGTGGCCCGCTTGACCACATGTCCAACATTTTGCTCTTTCCTTTTTAACTGGGTTGGCCTTGCATCTATTCTCGGGGAACCCGTCCTCTATTCAAGCGGTTCACCCGTTCACTGGTCAAGCTTTTATTTCTCTTCTTTTTAACTGGGCTACCCTCCCTCTTAATTCTGGGGTGGCCCGCTGGCTTTTCCCTGGGCCGGTCTCTTGGGGTCAGCCTTCTTTGTTAATATCGGTGGGGCACCCCTTCCTCAGCCCGCACCACTTGGCCACAGGTGTCCTTTCTTACCACACCTGGTGCATCTGTCCTGATTGAAGTCTGGGGGCAACCCCACTTCGTCGGACATTCCGCCGCCCTGTGGTCCTCGTACCCACAGGTCCAGCAGACCAGCCCGTATCGACCCGGCGTGGGCTTATAAAAGCCATGCCTGGTCGACCATGCCCTTCTATTGGGGTCCTCCTCCCATAATTCTGCCCGATCCACCTCTTCCTTAACCCTCTGATTCCACACGGGGTTCTTCCGCCTACCCCCCCTTCTTCCAGCCTCTTGACTTGGTATCTGCTTCTTTCCACACCTCTTCACTTTATCCCACACGCCCTGGCTCTCCCTGGCCAGCTCTATCGCTGCCGACAGTCTGAGCGGTCCTTCTTTCAATACGTCGTGACGAACACGCTCGTCGCTCAGCGCCTCTACATACAGGTCCGCCAGTTGGGCCTGCATAACCGCATTATCCCTGACCACTTCGGGGAATGCCAACGACGATAACCTCCTGCTCGGGCCCCAACTCTCCAGGGGTTTCATCCCGTAGCTGTGTCAGTTTTAAAGGGCCCTCATGGCCTCTATGGCCGTACCTTCGTCGGCGAATTCTTTGGTTAGCAGTCTTTTATCTCTTCCCAAGACAAGCAGGGTTGATTTTCCAAGAGCCCCTCACGAACTCAGACGCTTTTCCTTTGTGGCATCGTATGCCAAATACAGGGTTTCTTGGTCCGAAAGCTCGTAGATGATTCGGCTCTTCTCAAGGATTGCCAGCCAGTTTTTAAACTCCTTCCCGCTGCCATCAAATACTGGGACCCTCGGTCCACCTAACAGCTTCCTTAAATCCACTGACAACCCCCGCCTTACTTCCTCTTCACCCCCCACTGCTCTATCCGAATCATAGTCAGACATGTCTACAGAGAAAGACAGTCTATGCAGCAACAATCGAGGTTGGGAAATAAAAATAAGGTGTCCTACCTTGCAGACGATTCTGTTCTTTTCTTCCCTTTGGTCCGGGTCGTTCTGAGTTCTGTCTGAATTTCCAGCAACGGCGGTCGATCGTGGTCTTTCAGGGTTGAAATCCCTCGGTCACTGCACCACATGTGACGTGGTTGTCTCAGGGTTGATCCGTTGGTCACGGCACCATATGTGACGTGGTTGTCTCAGGGTTGATCCGTTGGTCACGGCACCACATGTGACGGTTACACACCTGGCCCAGGGTCGAATCCCTTGGTTACGGCGCCAACTGTGACGTCGTTCCTCCTGGTCGCTCCTCCTGGTTCCAAGCGTGCCGCTCCAACCCCTTGGTTAGATGATCACCAGCCTAGCCTTTCCCAACTCGCTTCCAATACCTGGTTCCTGAAGCAACTGTACTGATCTCCGGTCTGTCTACCCACGCTGTGTTTAGAT